ACCCTTTGGGCATTGAACAACCCTTTCTTAGGTTGTTTCTGATCTGACCTAAGATCGTCAGAAATTCCAGATATTTACATTATGATACACAACAGTAGAGAAATTACAATTGTGAAGTAGTAACGAAAATAATTTTATGGTCGGAGGTCTCTGCAACATGACGTGCTGTATTATAGAGTTGAGGTGATAGGAAGGTTGAGAACCACTTGTCTATTGCATTTTTCAGGCCTCTGGGGAGGCATGGCACCAGGGCAGAGTGCAGGGCAGAGGGCACTGCTCACCTTAGGAAAACAGGGAGGTAAAAGATACAGGAAGAGACTGAGGTTCCCCGATCTCCTTCAAGGATGAACACTCTTTGACTTAACTTCCTTCCAGCAGGTATCACTTCCTGTTCTCACTTCTCAGTTCCATCATCTGTAAATGCACTATATGCTGAGGACAAAGCCACTGGGAGGCAGTTAATATTCAAAGTGCAGCAGCTATTAAAGGCAGTCTATATAAAAAAAATAAACAGCCTCTTTATTTATCTATTACTTTTCATACCTTGTCATCTTACTATAAATGCACATAGGCTCAAACATTCCAATTATTTGAATATGACAGTAATGAAAATAAACTTTGAGTGTAGAGTGTATTGCTAGGCACTGAGCTAAATATATTATGAGCACTATTTTATTTTATTCTCAGAAAAAAAGAAAGCCATCCCACAGAGATGGAAATGTATTGAGGTAGGACCTATAGTTTACCATCTTCGAAGAATTCTCAGATTTCTAAAGGCGAGTGGAGTCAGGACCCCATGAGGCTTAGTAGACTGCCCGAGCTGAGGAGAAGGACCTTTTTCCAGGGGGCTTATGTGTAATAGACATCACTAAAAGGAACCATGGATAGAGAACTTCACAGGTTTTCAGAGAGCCAGCATGCCTATCAGGAAAAGACTCATGGCTCAGAAAAGAAGCACTTAGTAGGATTCAAGATGACAGCACCCAGTTCTGTCATTAGTATCAGGTCACATTCAGTCATTTCTACAACTGTTTTAGCTATGCAAGTCTATGAGAATATCACCAAAAGTTCCTCAGAAAGCAAAAAAGAAGGCATAAGTTGTGGTAGGTAAAATAAATAGAGCAAGGAAGATGCCTATATGAGTGTTTTAGGAAATTGGCCATTGCTAAAGGTTACTAGTTATTTCAATCCCACAAAATTGTCAAGTATCTAAAAGCTGCTCTTCAAGAAGAAACATAAATGAGTCAGTGAAAAGGGGGAGCTATTCTTGCTAGTCTTGACTTTCAGAATATTGAGCGAAAGACACAGGCAAATCCTTTCTTACTCATGGGGAATAATTAGTTCTAGACTGAAAACTGTTTTGGTTATATATAAAAAGTTAAAAAGGAAATTCTAATAAAGGATAAAAATCTTTCCAAATATCTTAACTCTGACCCAGAACAAAATTCAAGAATATTTACAAGAGATGTGTAGTAGCCCTTAAAATAAAATTCACAACATCTCGAGATTCTGAATCCTGAGAAAAGAAAACTGTGTACCGAGGCAGATGCTAGGATAACCACGAAATCATCAGCTACTATACCTGCATTGGGTGGATGAAAGATTGAAAATGAGACACCAAACTGCTAAAAAGGCTCCAAATTGAACTCTGGGAGATGGATGGAAACTTCAACAGTTGTGATGAAAAGTACCTGAGAGAGACCACTGGGGTATCAGACAGTAAAGAACAGATGAAGAAAACCTAAAGAAATAGTATAGAAACTACAAAAAAGGAAAGTAGGGGAAAAAGAAATGACTAAGAAAAATGAACAAAATGTCACTAAGCAGTGAACAGCTTTAAGTGCCTCTTGCACATGTCTCTTTAAGGTTCCCAAAGGAAGGTGAGGTAGGAGACAGAAAAAGTAATAATGTGCTAAAATATCCAAATTGGATGACAAGAGATGGAGGAAGTTTCAAATCTCCAAGTACAGAAAACACAAGGAGAGCAACATCAAGGCATGTGATCAAACTTCTAACAGCAGTGATAAAAATCGACTCATAAAATCACCAAGAGGAAAAAAATCTAGTTCATACAGGTGGGCAGATAGAAAGATGGCAGAGATTTCTCACTGGAAATAGAATGAAAGGAAGCACTGGAAAAATAAAACTGTGCAAACTAAGATTTTTTACCTTTCAATGTTTTTCAAAAACAAAGGTGAAATAAGACCTTTTCAAATATACAAAAGTAAGACAATCAATATCTGCAGAACCGCACCACAGGAAATAGTGTGGAGCTTAAAATGCACCACTTTAAATTAAGACGGATACAATAAAAGCAAAGTAGTTCAGGAGGGGTGAATTGGAAGCATCTCTCTTTCTCTCTCTCTCTCTTCTAGTGCTGGAGATCAAAATCAGAGTCTCTCCCATGATAGGCAAGCACTCTACTTCTGAGCTATTTGCCCAGTCGTAGTCCAAGATTCTTTTACATGAAGTAATATGTAATATACTTGAAGGGTCCAATTAAAGATACAGATTAGAAACTTTAAATCAACCAGTAACCAAAAAAGAAATAGTTAACAATCTAGCAATGGAGATATAATAAAAGCTGTCACTCAATCCAAAATAAGGCAGGAAACTAGGAAAAAAGGAAACAAAGAACAGATAGACACTATATAGAAGGTGATTGTTCTAAGTACAGCTGTACCCTCCAACACACTGAATGTAAATGGACTAACTATATTTATAAAAAGGCAGAGATTGGTTTTTTTTAATTTTAAAAAGACTCAATTGTATGATGAACACAAGAAACACATTTTACATATAATGACACAAATAGGTGAAAAATGAAAGGATAAAAGCAAACACGAGTCAGAGGGAAGTTAGAACACTGGTATTAATATTAGACTATGTGCCATCAGCACCATTGAAAACGAAGGTCCCTTCGTAATGCTAAAGACATGTTTATCAATCAAGAGGACATACCAACCTTCAAAACCCACAAAGCAAAAAGTCACAGGACTTCAAGAAGACTGACAAATCCACAGCCCTATATTTTAATACTGTTATCAATAAGTGATCACAAGTGGGCAGAAATCAGTAATGATACAGAACATTTAACTAAAATTTAATTTTAATTTAAGATTTGTTTGACACCATTAAACTTGATATTTGCTGAAAATCAGTTTGGACAACAACACCTTTGTTTCCAGATGGATCTGGAACTTATATAGATCATTTGATGCTTATTAGGTAACTGCCATTGTTTCCATTTACAAGTGAATGAAAGACGGCAGGAAAAGGGTCACAACTATTAAGCATCACGCGGGACTTGGCATTCGGTTGCCTGTGGAATGCGGCACTCTCCCTCCTCCCTGAGCACCTGGAATAGCTCAGGTCTCTATGACCCGGAATGAAATCCTTTTTAAATAAACAAAGGAATGGACTACTCAAAAAGTGTTCAATGTTCTCTAAATACCACTTGGAAAGGAAACACGTTCTCTGCCTCTCCTCTCGTATTCCCACCCAGCCCAAATGGCCTGTGTGCTTCCTTTAAGTGACATGACTTATAGGTATCATAAACTCGAGTTTCACAGCTGGTGGGTCTGAAAGGGAAGACAGTCGCAGAGTACAAAAGGTTGGTGGGGCTGGCTCTTCCCCCAGGCCGCTGCTGGAGGGTGGTCTCACAGACACTCAAACCCAGTTTAAAGCGGCCTGAGTACTGTGCTTGGAATGCCTGCATTCAGACAATAAACCCCCTTTCCAGGAAAAAAAAAAAAAAGTACTTATTAAAGGGAACAAAAAATGATTAGCTCATGACTGACTTTCTTTGCTTACCTTCTTAAATCTGTTAATACAGCTATCATGTATGTAACGATGACGACTTGGAAGAACGTTGTAATGTTTTCCACGGTAAAGTTAAGTATTGGCAAGAAACTGCCGTCGAGGGGAACAACGTTCTGGTGGATCTTCGCCTGAGACCTGACACATAGTTGCACAAGAGGCTATGTGAAATGGGGATATTATTCCGCATCACCATGCTTTGCAGAGGATTTAGGCGGATCAGCAAAGTGAATCTTGATAATGAAATTACAACTCCCCCAGGTTTCTCATACGAATTCAGTATGTCTGTTTTTTTTTTTTTAACCCACCCCCACTCTTTCTATTGGCCTTAGATGTTTTATTGTTAACCAGCTAATGACTTCTTGATGCCTCTCACTTTTCTCTTCCTCTCAGCTAAACACTCCACCCTGTAGTTGCAGCCCAGAGGAAAGAATTTTCCAGCTCCCCCTTCTGGCTGGGCTGAGATGTCTTAGCTTCTGGGCGTAGGGAGGGCTGGGGAGGTGAGAGAGAGGGGTCTGAAGCAGTGTTGCACACTGTAGGAAAAAAAAAAGTTCACCGAGTCCCTGTGCTAGCTAATTTGGGACTGGGCCACACATTCTTGAAAATTGTTTACCTTGCAGTTTTGGAGTTCGGTAATAGCTCTGAAAGGAACGTAGGGGCTGACACTGAGAGCGCTTCCCGGGAGGGGAAGGTCGCCCTCCGGGGTGGGGGCTCAAGCGAGGAGGGACCGCCGCTGGCCAATCAGAAGACGAGGCTGAGCCGGGCTTCGCTTCCGAAGGGGCTAGTGGTGGAAAGTTGGGAGGCTCAGTCGCTGGCCTGGAGCGCAGCGGCGAAGGCGGCACCGCAGGCTCGCAGCGTTCCCCGGGGCATGGACCCCGCGCTCTGCCCGAGCCCGGCTGCTCCCAGCGCCCTGCACGCGGCCGCTTAGAGCCCGCGACCTACCCAGCCGGACAAAGGGCGCCGCATCCCTGCGCTGCCCAGCCCAGCCCCTGGAGGCAGCCGGGCTCCAGGCTGGTCCCCGTCTCCGTTCTCCGCCCCAAACTTTGAGTTAGTTCGGAGACTGCAAAAGGCTGATGAGGCACCGGAGAGGAAGTCTTCTGCCTGCTGTTGAGGAGTAAGCGCAGTGCTTACTTCAGGGCAAAGAGAAAAGCGGAGAGCAAACAAGGAAAAAGAAAAAAAAGATGATTGTCCAGGAAGTGGTCCGCATAGTATTCCTGGTGGCTCTTCTGCACTCTTCCCTAGCTGGAGATGGGACCCCCCAGTCCGAGAGCAGGGCTGAGGAGATTCCGGAGGGGGCGTCCACTTTGGCTTTTGTGTTTGATGTGACTGGCTCCATGTATGATGATTTAGTTCAGGTTATTGAAGGGGCTTCCAAAATTTTGGAGACGTCTTTGAAAAGACCCAAGAGGCCGCTGTTCAACTTTGCCTTGGTGCCTTTCCATGACCCAGGTAAGGGAGATGCTCACTCTCTGTCTTTGTTGTGATCCGTAATTCTATTACTTTTTGTGCTACGAATTTGTTTTATTGTCCAAAAGTTTCAAAGCATTTTTTTTAAATGTGCAGCTGAATACATCTGTAACAAAGAATTGCTTGCTGGCATCTGGCTCTGCTCTCATACCTCCGTTAGCGTTCAGCCAGGCTTAGCCATAGAGGGAGTAGTTGGCTTGTTTAGAGAGATTAAACAGTGGTGCCCTGACCTGGAAACGTGGTCCTCCGAAGATCAGAACCAGGAATCTGCAGCAGCCACCGCAGAAAACTCAGTTAACTGGCCTGCCTTGTAAAGCCAAAGACTGTTTTAATTGCAAAGGCAGCCAGGACAGGAACGTGGTATATTCAACAGCAGGGCACTGGATGTGAAGAGTAAGCACACTCTCAAGATAATCTCACATAGGAGAGACACAGACCTGCTGTGGGACACATGAGCAAGTCTGTAAATAGTAACCGGGGGTGGGGGGTGAGGGGTGGAACCGAAGGCATGAAAATGAAAGACAGAAGCCATTCATTTCTTAATGGAATCTCTTCATCTTTGCAGCGGGTCATCAGTTAGATTCACAGATGTGTGTAAACATGATGCCCGGGTCTCATGCAGTACAAATGCATGTAATTTGCTATGTCTGTGCTCTTGAAAGGTAGTTGAAGAAAAATAACTTTATGTTGTGCCCCGAAGCTGTGGGTTTCGGCTGCTGTCGGACTGTAACGTGATCCTATTTACCCTTTTCAGTTTCTTTTTAAAGTAGCACCTCTGTGTGAGGCTCCTGGGAGCCCCTATTGTCATGTGGAGGGTAGCATTACAGGGGGAGCCCTGGGGATCGCTGTCTTGTGTCCGCCTGAGTTTCATTAGTGCAAGTAGCTGCTCCGTGGAAGAAGTCAAACAGTGGTTTCTTGAAAGCCCTCCCCCACTGCTCTCCCACATTCCCTTTGCTTTTGAAATTCTCTCTTCCCTAGACTTTGGCATAGTCTCTTTCACAATGAGAGCATGATGTTGTTTTTTTTTTTTTTTCCTCCCTTGTGCCTTTGCCAAACATTAAAATCCTAATTACTGCTAGTTATTAGGTGTTCCATATTTCAGCTATTTAAAAAAATATGTCATTGGGATAAATTGAGAGAACTAGAACTTTATGGAATTTTCATGTTCTTCAATGACAACAATAAACTATCCCGTTCTTCTGTAGTATATTCATGCATTTCCACACTGACCAGATGTAATATGCTCTACTATTTGAACCAAGAGTTAGATAATCATTTTACTGTGATGACGGCCTCAGTAAGACCCTTCAAATGACATGATGTTTCAATTTATAAGATGCCAAGTTTGCCACTTACGATGCAGTCCAAGGATTTTGTTGTTTTGGAATATCCTAAACATATTTCATCAACAAGGATGAATCCAAAGTTGGCTCAAATACAAAGTAAAAGCGGATACTGCTAATTTATAGTAGGTTTTCTCACCTCAAAAAAAAAAAACCCACTATGATATTATGTTGCTGGAAAAATGTAAAAATATGTTTCCTCTCATGTGTGGAAGCCAAATTACCGTATTTTGGAGTGATGTGGAAATATTTTATAACAAATCGTCTAGTGTGTGCTGACTCCTCACTGGTGTCAGTGAGAAAGTCTGCGCACTGCTGTAGTTGATCTTCCTGTTGTTGCGCAATCAGAATTCAAAGTGGAGGGAAACTTGGAATGTTAACGGCAGGTGACTAGTAATACTAGAGCTTTAAAAACTTAAATTGTATGAGAAAATAATTAGTAGTTTAAAGTTGTTTTATAAAATTGTGCTTATAACTCTTTGTGCACAATGATTATATTTCCATTATAATTAAAAGCACAGAAGAATGGTAAATGATTTATATTATGCAAAAGTATTTAAAATATTTCTGCAGATAGAGAACTAAAAGTTAAAATATATAATTAACATTTAACTTCAAATTAACTTTAACAGATGATCACCACTGTGTGATTTTTCTGGTTTCCTCTTTGTGTGTATGTGTGTGTCTATGTGTGCGAGCATGTATGGATGTGCCTTCACTGAGAGTTTTTGTTTCTCTTTCAGTTGACGATAAGGATGTAATGACAAGAAGGACCTTGGATGGGGCTTGACTATCTTACTGACATTAGGGAAAAGTCATTTACATTTTTGAAGCTCAGCTTCAATATCAGAGAGAGAGAGAGAGAGAACCAGATTTGAACATACCTAAGGACGCCTTTAACTGTGACATTTTGTGATCCTTTATTTTACATATGGCTTTTTTCTTGTAGTCTCTAATACACACATGTACTGTTGCATAAAAGAACTAATGTGGAAAGAAATAACATCTAGCGTTGAACTCAAGCGATTACACTAACAGCCCAGGTGCCCACCCTGTAGACACATAGTACCCATGGAATGGGTGGATGGAATGATGGGCTGAGTTTGGAGACAACAGTCTGAGACTTGTGAATAAAGTCTTTAGGTCTTTGGAGATGATTATTAGACAGGTCCACATGACCGTTCAGGGAATGGTGTGTGGCTACAGGTGGTGGCAGTTTGAAAATACATGAGGACCACAGAGCCCAGGGAGGAAGAGTGCTGACAGTGGACAGTGTGGTGCTAAAGCATGTCAGAAGATGCTTCTGCGGGAAAGAGTGGGGAAGGTCCAGTGACGACAGTAGGCATGGAGAGGGAAGCAGCTGCCCTAAGTTCATGGAGGCAGAAGCCAGGCTTTTGATAATAACTAACTGTCTTGAAGAAGCCTTTTAACCCGCAAAGTAGTTCTTCCAGCATTAATTTTAATCAATTAATTAATTGATTATTTTTTGAGACATGGTCTTTTACGTAGCCCTGGCCAGTCTGGAATTCGCAATGTAGGCTAGGCTGGTCTTGAACTCATGGGCTATCCTTCTGCACCTGTTCGTGGTGGTGGGATTCCAGGTGTGCACCATTGTATATGGCTACTGCATTAGTTTGTAGTAGCTTTGCTGAAATATACATTCTTTATCATACAGTTTACCCCTTTATCATGAATAATTTAATGATTTCTATTATGTTCATAGGTAGGTGACACCATCATCACAGTTGGCTTTAAAATAGTTTCCTTACTCCCCCCAAAAGTCCTGTACCATTTAGTTGTCAGTTTCCTACCCACTGATTAAAGTATTCTTCTCCTAAGCAAACTGCTAACCCATTTTCAGTCTCTCTGGATTTTACTCTTCTGGGCTTATACATTATAGATATTATTTATAATCATTAGTGGTCTTTGTGATGGGATTCCTTAGGTCAACATAATGCTTTCAAGGTTCATTCATATTGAAGTGTCATTTCTTTCTATGACCAAATTACATTCCATCCTACAGTATAACACTTATACCATATTTTACTTATCTACTGGCCCATGATTGAGATTTAGATATTCCCTACTCTTTTATGAATAACTGTAATAAACATTTACATACACATTTCTGTGCATACATGTTTTCATTGTTTTCTGAGTGTATATTTAGAAGTGAAATCTCCGGGTCATGATAACTATGTGTTTAATGGCTGAGGGGGTGGGAAAGCTACTGCTCAAAGCAGTTATAATATTTTATGTTTTTAATAGCTATATGCATGAGATCCAGTTTCTCCAGATCTTTATCACTATTTATCACTGATTATTAGAATATGTATTTTCTGTTTATAATACTACTCAAATTTCATTTCTGTCTTCCTTTAAACACAACGCTGAGATGAGCTGATAGTGTCTCCTGCCCACAGAACCTTTTATGACTCAGTGTCTTATTTCCCCGTTTTTCTGTGAGGCAGTTTCCAGAGCTAGGAGGAGTGTTTTAATGAGCTGAACATCTCCTTCTTCCTTTCAACAAGCCCATTTCACTTTCTACAACATCTCCTACTGGTCTGTGTTCCTTGTTTGCATGCTTACCGTGCTCAGGCATTGCATAATGCACTGTGGAGCCAAAAGAAAATAAAACCAAAAAGAAAGCTCCAGCCATCATGGATCTTGCATTCTACTGAAGAAAGAACACAGGCAATAAAGAAAATGATCAAAATACATATAAGCATTTTATGCCTACGGCTGCTGTGAAGAAAATGAGAAGCAGGAAAATGGCACAAAGATTTGAGGGTTTAGATTTTTAAATATGGTGGCTGGGGACCATCATGAAGAAGAAATTTCATTTCAACAAAATCTCAAAGGAGGGAGCATTGAATATGTCTTTTATAGGCAGATGAACAATTATCAAAACAACCTGGTGACAAGAACATCTCGACACATTCAACAGCAGTGAGATCCCTGAGTGCCTGTGACATAAAAAGAAGTGATAGAGGGGAATTGGCAAACGAGGCCTGAAATATGATAAGACCTATTCAGGAAAGGGCTCATAGTAGTTCCCAGGGGCTTTTTTTATTTTTTATTTTTACCATGATTGACATAGAGAGCTACTTTAGAGTTTTATTCATCAATTTATGTGTCTGGGTGTTTTGTCTCCATGTTTGTGCACCATGTGAATGCACTACATTCTTCCTTGCAGGGGGTAGAAGAGGGCATTGGGTCCTCTGGAACTGGAGCTAGAGATGATTGTGAGCTGCCGTGTAAGTGCTGGGAATCAAACCCATGTCCTCTGGAAGAGCAGCCAGTGCTCTTACCCACTGAGTCGTCTTTTTAACCCTCAACTATAGAGTTCTAAATGGAGCAGTGACACAATCTGACATAGACGTGTGCAGCAGCATCCTGGTGTCATGTAGTAACGGGAAGCAAGTAAAGAGTAGAAACGGGTCAAATTAGAAGACTATGAATTCCTTGTGTGGAGTTGATACGGGTATTTTTTAATATTTTGAGTTTGTGATATTTTGAGTAGAAAATCAAGAAGATTTGGTGATGCACTGATGGTGAAGTACAAGGAAAAAATAAAAGATAAAATGGGTTGAGTAAATAGAAGTGTGGCCTGGTTATTATATCCCGAGGTGGAGAATA